AAAAACAGAACCCAAACTCGTGTTGGATTTTTCTCACTAACAGAAATGTAAAGCTCATGAAAGATGATCTGCATTCCTGTATTTCCCTGATTTGTGCCTCATTCCCTCCCCTTTCCCCCCAAAACAATTCACTGATGCATTTTAAGGAGGCAGATTTTCAACTGAAGGTACCCAAGATTATGCTTCAGCTATTGCTCTCTGATACTATCCCATACATCTGTTCTGCTGGATTTCAAGTAGGGCAGTTCTGATCATTGACTCTGTGACATCTGAAGCTGGAGAGGCCACTTACAGTTTGTTCATAATCAGGGGCTCTCCTCATTGCAAGTGGAATTCAGCTTCCAACACAATCCCAAGTTGAGGCTCTAGACACTAAAAAAGGTTGCTGTTTCCATTCTAGATTCCCCCACTCCACCGCCCCCAAGCAGTCATTCCAAACTTTCTTCAGCCAGTGTTGTGAATCACTAGTGTTCATGATCATATTTTCAGTAAAAGCAGGAAGCTGAAGAAGTAGCTTAGCTCCTTAAATCTTGTGAGTCGGTGGTGCTCAAATTTTTGGTCCTGTGGACCAGATGAGTGGTGCAAGGCTGGCCTGCAGGATGAATCAAACCCCACACACCACATCAGGCCCCATGCTACCTCTGCCTGGCCCCATGTGCCAGAATTGGGCCCCAGAGCCTAGGTGGCTGCCAAGTGTGGGGATTGGCTCCTGAGGTCCAGTATTGCCCTTGGCAAGCCCTGCACACTAGGATCAGGCCCTATGCCACCCTACGTGCATGATCTAGCACACAGGCCCTTGGGCTCTCTAAGGGTTTGGAAATTTGGCAGCAAGGGAGTAGCTGCCTACACTTTCTCGCCTTAAAGCAAAACAGACACTTGCTACAAAATAATGGCACAAATCCATATCACTTATGTCGTGGCCACAAATTTGGGGCCTCTGTGGCACAACAAGGGGCATTCCTAGGGTAGGTAGGATTGGGTCCCTGAAGCCCTGGGAATATCTACTGAAGTTTCCCCATTAACAGAGATCCACGCCAGGGAAATCCAACTTGGGGCACACCTCTGCAAATAGGGAACCCCAGACTTCCTCAATTGCAAAGGTATACTTGGGGATTCCTCAGGTACTCCTCTGCTAATGGGGAAACCCAAAGTTCCCCCATTTGTAGATGCATGCCCTGAGTGTTGTCGTATGAGATTGGTCTCCAGCCACTCCCAGGAGAAGCAGCAATCTGGCTCTGTGGTACAACAGGCAACTTCTGTTTCATTCAGTGAAGCAGATCAGCTGTGCTGGGACACATCATGACACAGCTGATCCTCTTCATTTGGCAAGATCTGTTTAGATCTCTTTATTCCTGTAGTTTTTTTGTTCTTTTTCTCATGCGAAATACTAATAGAATATTTTTGTGAACATTTTTATTTAAATCAACATTATACTAGAAACATTATTTCACTGACCCATTTAGAATAGAAGCTCCCAGGACAGGGAATTTTAATATTTATCCATTAAGAACTAAGCATATTCAGGATGCAATATAAGCAATAATTAAACCACAGTGACTGCAAAAAGAATGCAAGAGAAGAAACTGAAACATATCAACTCTAATTTGTAATGAAAAATCTGATCTGCCTAAGCTTTTGATGGCACAATCCAGGAGGAATAAGCATTGGTTTGGGAAATAAGATGTTCTGAGTACAAATTCCATTTCTTCCATTCACTCACTTTCTGTCCTTTGGCAGTTCTCTTCACTTCTCAGATATATGTTTACCCATTTAAAAATATGCAGGGAGAACAATTGCTCTATTGGTGTTTGAACATCTGAAGAACATATGATTAGTAAGATGCAGGTAATATGCCACATGCTTCTTTCATGGTGCCTAAAATGCTACCAAAGAACTGAGTTAACTTTCTCCAACCATTGCTCTGGGATCAGAGCTTTCACATGATGAACAACAGCCCCCCTCACAATTTTTGTTGGGTTTTTTTGGTTAGCTAAGCATCTCTTTTGTCTGTTTTCTTGCCTTGAGAATTCTTACACATATCACAAGATTCATGGGACAAAACCACTGTTTGGGTATTTGATTATTGAACAAAGGATACTACTCCCAGAAGAAAGAAGGATAGTTTCATCCAGTCAACAGTCTGAGCAGGCCAACATACAGAGTCCACTCTTTTGGGCTTTTCTTTTGGGCCATATAAAATCTCAAGTCAATGGAAGTTTTGCCTCAGTGTGGACTGTAAGCCATTGACAGGAAGAAAGATAAAAACTTATTGCATTCAATTTCTTAAGATATTGAAGTGGGGATCTGATTAAAGTGGAAAAGCATAGGGTTGATTTAGGGTTGTACCAACAAAGTAAGACCAATTTTCAAATGTGCTGAAGTACCCACCTTTCCCAAATGCTGACTTTAAATGAGTTCTGGGCACTGAGAATTGACAATCCTAAATACTTGTCCCAAGGTGGCACAAAGTCTATGGAAAACCTGGGAACAGAAGCTAGCCCCATATGTCTTTTATTCATGGGATCAGCATTCTTTTGTTTTTCAGCTACACATATCATTCCTTTCAGTCTTTCCTTTTTAACATTGGCTTTTCCTATTTCCTACATTTGCCACTGAGAAAATACTTAGCAAGATAGTACTATGGACCATCATATTGAGAAAACAGAGATGAATGACACCCTTTTTTAAAGTTATGATGTTCTAGAGAAAATAAGTTCTGCACACTACAGGCCAGGTTCACAAAGGCTTCAATACATCTTTTACCTGTGCTTTCCCCAGAGGCACTGAATGGAGTTTCTCAACTGCATCAGTAATATCCCTGGTTTCCACAGAAGAGAAGGCGCTGCAGATTGCCTTGATTTCTTCAATCACGCTATCCACTTTATGCTGTTGATGCTGAAAAGAAAAATCATATGAACTTAAACAGAAACACTCTGTGATAAACCTATCACTAAGAATTTGAAGTCATTAGGCACATTCCACATATGGTACATGTGCATCCAGTTCCCTCCCCTACACTCCTCCCCCCAAACACACACACACTTAGATACCTTCCAGAATAATGTCCTGAAAACAGCAGTGATGAGATCTTATGCATCTATTATAAATCTGGGTTAAACATTCCTAAGGAAATTTTTACCAAATCAGGTATCGCCAGTTTTTCAGTTTTGTCCCATACCTGAAATTTGGGCCAGGTTTTTCAAAAGTTTAGATGATAATCCAAGAACCTTTCAAGCAAAAATGACCTAAGATTACAGCAAGTCCAAGCAGATACCTTACTCAGGTTGAAAAGTATAACAAACTTAATTTTTTACATTAATTTAACATAGTGGCAATGCCCACCTCCCAGAACATCAGAAGCATGGGATTATTTGGATGGGTCAGTGCTTGCCTATGATCACCAGGTAAGGGCTGCCTAGGCCCTGCTGCCACCCTTTCCCACCAGGGCTGAGGGGCAGCTCTGCCTTGTGCGTCTCAAAGACTCCTCCTGATTGGTTGCTCTCTTACTGCCCAAACCATAGGGTCAGGCCAAAGGGGGTGGGACTGAGATGCCAGACAGAGGGAGTGTGGTTTGGAGTCTGGAAGCCTGCAGCTCTGACCAAATCCTAAAAATCACACAGAAGCAGGGCTGCAAGGGATCTGCAGAGATCATTTAGTCCAATCCTGCCTGAGGCAGACTCATCCCTGTCAAAACCATCCTAGACAAATCCATCATCTGAATTCCTTGTAACACAACCATCAGCTCAGAAACAGCACAAGAAATTGCACTCTCATCTGCCACCAGTGAAGCAGGGGGACCACAGCAGCCAACGTCCTGCTTCTATAAACAGTTGTTAATATATGCTCCAGAGGTCCCAGGTAAAGGCTGTGTACCCACTATGCAAGAAGGCCACTATCCACCACCTGTGGATACACTGGGTAGCAGTACTACTCTGTCACCAGATTAGCTGTGAAATAAGTAGAGTTAACTCTCACAAATAAGCAGCCACAGACCAAGCAGGATGTGGTAGGGACAGCAGATAACAATGCTTTCCCTTCTGAAAAGTATTTGATGGTGTTGTGACATGGTGTAGGTCAGCATTATAAGCAGCCTATCCAGCCCCCAGCCATGGGTCTACAAGTCCTCAACAGTAGAGCAGGCAGAAGATACTAGAATCTCAGTGACGGCAAAGGTGACAGAGTGTAGCAGAATGGGATCTCCAAGTATCTTGGCATCCTTGCTGTTGGATCAAAGTCACATTCTGTCAAGAACTACATGGAAACTGATGTACAATAGCTTCTCCATGATAAAAGAAAGTGCTCCCGGACATCTTCCATGGAAATGGCTTTTCCAGCACATTCTTCAAGTCTTTTGGTGACCAGCTAGTGACAATGGTAGTAAGATTGTGAGGTCTTGAAACTCCTAGTCATGAACTGGCTCCTAGTCATGAACTGGCATGAAGGCAGCAGTTACAAGAAGGTCATTTAGTACTTGGAACCAGGAGTGTGATTCAGCAGCTGTAATTTTGACTGAGCATCCCTCTTCAGGATCCACTCTGCTCACCCCACATGGGAAGGGAGCTAGAAGTACCCTAAACATAGTCCAACTAGCTTTTTCCTGACTAGATAACCATGCCTAGTGGGATCATCTTTACTGAGGTCAAAATCGGCATAGGCACACAACCAATTTTGGGACCTGAAACATCAGGACCCACAGAGACAATCCTAATGGTGAATTCTCAGTGGTGCCCAGAATGCACCACAATCATAGCTCAAGAACACAGTTGACACTACATTGATATAATTGTACTCAGAAAGATCCAATGAGTGGGAGATGGGAAGTTCAAAGACCAAGGAGGTGACTATACCTTCTTTTGGAAGGGTAAACAGGAAGGAGAATACCAGCTTCACGGAGTTGTTTTTGCCATCAAGAATGAACTCACAAACCAACTCAAGGAATTCTCTATTGGAATTAATGAGTGCCTTGTGACTCTCCATCTTAAACTGGCAGGGAGCCAATAAATCACTTTCATCAGTGTGTATGCCCTGACTCTTGACACCACCAATGAAACCAAGGAGGAATTATATGCTAATTCTGACCAGTGCTTTCTGGCATTCCAGAGGGACACAGAATTACTCTTCTTGGTGATTTCAAGGCCAGAGTTAGAAGGAACTCAAACCTCTTGAATGGAACCATTAACAAGAAAGGAGAGGGAAAGATCAACTCCAACAGCATCCTCCTATGAGCAAATGTGTGGAACACAGATTCACCATCATCAACATCCTGTTCTGCCAAAAAAACAGGCACAAGACATCAGGGCAACACCCGTGATCCAAGCATTGGCACTGGACTGGCTACATCATTGTTCATGCCTGAGACCAGAAAGATGTCCACATTACCTGAGCTATGCTAGGAGCTGATGACTACTGGACCAATCACCGACTCATCCACTCAGTTATGTCATTCAAACAGGCTCCCAATGGTGGGTGAAGCAGAAGCAATGCTGATGGAAGGACTCAACATAAAAGGACTCAAGGATCAATCAAGCGAGACCTCCTTCCAACAGTGTCTCAATGGAAAACTGGTGAATTCCAATCAACAACAATATTAGAATGTGGGCAGCACTCGGGGTGCCTTCAAGTCCACTGTCATCAGCACTTCTGAAGAGACGCTTGGATTCTCTACCTGGAAACATCAGCACGGCTTTGATCACCTTCACCATCCGCCGCAAAGCTGGCAAGTCAGTCAGTAATATAGAAGTCCTTGACTTCAGGAAAGCTGACTTCGACAAGCTCAGGAGGCTTGTCAGTGAGGACCTAAAGGGCCACAACCCAAAGGGGAGGGGAGTTCAGGACAAGTGGTTGTTCCTCAAGGGAGCAATCCTGCATGCGCAAGCCAAGTCTATCCCGTCTCAGAGGAAAGGCAGCAAAAGAGCACAGCAGCCCCTTGGCTCTCTAGGGAACTAGCAGACCTCTTGAGTCTTAAAAGGAAGACCTACAAGGGATGGAGGACTGGAACCACCACCAAGGAGGAATACTCTGCTCTGGTCCACACCTGCAGAGAGCAAACCAGGAAAGCCAAGGCTGCGATGGAACTCCAGCTAGCTACAAATATCAAGAACAATAAAAAGTCCTTTTTTAGACATGTGGGGAGCCAGAGGAAAAGCAAGGGAAACATTGGACCCCTGCTAAACCATATGGGACAACTGACAACCAATGCCCATGAAAAAGCAAACTTGCTAAATGGGTATGCTGGGTCAGTTTTTCACCAGTCTCAAGGGACACCCCTGCCCACTGTGGGTCAGGGATGCCTGGGTAAGGGAGACTCCTTACCCTCCATTGAAGCTGACCTCATGAAGGAACACCTTGACAGGCTCGATACTTTCAAGTCAGCCGGCCCTCACCGTTTACACTTAAGAGTACTCAAGGAGCTGGCTAGCATCATAGCTCAGCCTCTGGCATGGATCTTTGAAAACTCCTGGTGTTCTGGTGAAGTGCCCAAAGATTGGAAGAAGGCCAATGTCGTGCCTATCTTCAAGAAAGGGAGGAAAGTAGATCTGGCAAACTACAGGCCCATCAGCCTGACCTCTATCTTAGGGAAGGTCTTGGAAAAGGTTATCAAAGAGGCCATCCTTAACAGACTAGCTGATGGCAATATCCTGCGGGATGCCCAGCATGGGTTTGTTGCGGGTCTTGCTTGACCAACCTCATTTCCTTTTATGACTAGGTGACCTATCACCTGGACAAGGGGGAAGAGATTGATGTCGTATATCTTGACTTTAAAAAAGCCTTTGATCTGGTATCCCATGATCACCTCTTGGCAAAACTGGCTAACTGCAGCCTTGATCTCACCATGATCCGCTGGCTGGGGAATTGGCTCTGCGGTAGGACCCAGAGGGTAGTGGTTGATGGAAGTCAATCGTCGTGGTGCCCTGTGACCAGTGGGGTCCCTCAAGGCTCTGTCCTAGGGCCTATACTTTTTAACATCTTCATCAATGATGTAGAATTGGGTGTCAGAAGTGAGTTGGCCAAGTTCGCCAATGACACCAAACTCTGGGGTAAAGCATCCACCCTTGAGGACAGGAGGGTAATCCAGGCAGATCTTGACAGGCTCAGGAAAAGGGCGGACAAGAACCTGATGGTGTTTAACAGCAAAAAATGCAAGGCTCTCCACACTGGGAGGAAAACCTGCAGCATGCTTATAGGCTTGGCAGTGCTACGCTGGTTAGCACTACAGATGAAAGGGACTTGGGGGTCATGACTGACCACAAGATGAACATGAACCTTCAATGTGATGCTGTGGCTAGTAAAGCGAGCAAAACGCTGGCGTGCATCCATAGATGCTTCTTAAGCAAGTCCCGGGACATCATCCTCCCATTGTACTTGGCCTTGGTGAGGCCACAGCTGGAGTACTGCATCCAGTTTTGGGCTCCACAATTCATAAAGGATGTGAAGAAGCTTGAGAGAGTGCAGAGAAGAGTCACGTGCATAATCAGAGGTCAGGAAAACAGACCTTATGAAGAGAGGCTGAGAGCCATGGGACTCTTCAGCCTGGAAAAGTGCAGGCTCAGAGGCGATCTGATGGCCACCTATAAGTTTATCAGGGGTGTTCACCAGGATCTGGGGGAACGTCTGTTCACCAGAGCACCCCAAGGGATGACAAGATCGAAGGGTCACAAACTCCAAAGCAACCAATTCAGGCTGGACATAAGGAAGAACTTCTTTACTGTACGAGCCCCCAAGGTTTGGAATAGACTGCTACTGGAGGTAGTTCAAGCACCCACTTTGAACTCCTTCAAGACACATTTGGATGTCTAGCTTGCTGGGATCCTATGATCCCTGCTGACTTCCTGCCCCTGGGGTTGGGGGCTGGACTCGATGATCCTTCGGGATCCCTTCCAGCCCAAATGTCTATG